TTTAAGGCTTTGATAACATAAAAATTACCAGTTATATCATTTTGAGCTAGAGAGTATGTTTTGGATAGTTTTTTCATAGTTGAGAAAATTTTTGAGCTTATCAATTTCTTCTAAACTGAGCATTTTTTATTCTACATGATAGTCCTCTTTTTGGCGACCTCTTCTATTTAGTCTATAGCTTGAGGGCTTTCTATTTCCTGCATTTTTTTTATATCATTTCTTCTTGCAATTGTTGTATCATAGATTACTTGTGAAGAAGGCTTTTGCCCTTCTTTAGGGACATAATTTGTATTAGTAAATCCCTTATCTTAAGGTTCAGTAGTTATGGTGGATTTTTTGAAAACCAAAGCTCTGCGTATTATATTCATCTTTCCATCTTGGACTCCTATGATAGAAAAAACTTAGGGTCTGTTTGGGGCTGCTGCAGAGAGGCTATTGTCTGGAAAATAACTTTTAAAATCTGCTATAGGTATAATAAATGTTTTTTAAAGTTGAACATTAGCTTTCTTACAACTCCCACACATCAGCATATCTGGTTGCAAAAAGTTGCTTCTTGCCATAAACATTTTTGAAAAACACTTGGTAAGCAGCAAAAAACAGTAGCCAAACATAAGTGTAGTTGTAGTATGAAAATAAATTAGTAAGAAAATTGTCTTAAATAGACCCTTAATTTAGTGATGGCTGGTTTTCTTTGCTTTAGATTTGTACATGAATTTAGTCGACATTATTATGGAGTCTTGCAAGGAAATGAAACATCGTCTCTCATTTTACAAATTGCTTGAGAATTATCACATCCTTGCACACTGTAATGTTGAAATTTTGGTAATAAACCTTCATATCAATAAAGTTCTCAATAAGGGGAATGTAGTTGGTTGATTGTTGAATCTATATTTTGATGTGATAGATAAGTGCATGGTCCTTCACTTTTAAGTAGGTTTGTTTAACACTTTAACTACACCCCACACTTCTTTTGAGGTATATATATATATATATTTAACTACACCCCACACTTCTTTTGAGGTATATATATATTTCAAGCGTCATTTATTCCACAAGATCATGGAATTTCCGTTATTCCAAAGTACAATCTTTAGGTCTTTTGGCTCCGAAGGAGTATCCGCAAGGTGACGGATGTTTCATTTTCCTTTCAGAATGGCATTTACAATTTGGGACCACCTTAGTTTGTTTCTCTCGTTGAAGCGATATGGGACTTATAGGCATTGGAGTTCTCATTTAGTGTGACTTTGATCATTCATGATATCTGATTCCTTGGAAGTGAAGTCAAAGATATTAGACAACATGAAGAGAAGAAGTTCAATTTCTACAAGGAGAGAAAATAAAGGTTGGAAGAAGCATATCTTAGCCTTGTGTTGATATCAATTAGAAAAAAAGATAATTTATTTTTAATATTATTGCTTGATTCTGTATAAAGTGTGCAAGTCAAAATAAATAAAGTTATCTAGAAAAATGGAAATAAAAGGTCCGTAGGAGGGGTTGGTGGTCAGAAGAGAAAGAGGAGACACTCAGATTGTAACCTAAGATCGTAAGAGAATCAATTCAATGGTTAGAATACTTATTCCATCTGTTTAAGGTTTCTTACCAAGATTGATTGATTTTTAGTCCCCGTAATCATTCAACATGTATGCTATTAAACGGTCTAAATAAATTATTGGTTATGATTAAATATTTAATTTTATCATAAGGAATTATTTGGAAGTCCGTATTTAGTCTCTTTCATAATTGTGCTTAATTTGTGCTATGAATCAACAATAGTTGACTTGTTACTGGGTATGAGAATATGATTACTATTACCCTAGCAAGTCGGATGTTCATGCTTACCCTTTTACCATTTGATATGTCCGACCAGCAACAGCATTATTGGGTTCTGGCCAAATCTGGCATAGTTGGCAGAAGTACCTTTGATAAACTTTGTTTTCTCAAATAAAAAAGGTTGTATATTCATGTTTAGCCATGTACTATTTAATATGTCCATTTTTCTCAAGAGAAATCTAGTATAGTTGGAAGAAATAACTTTGCTGAACTTTGTTTTCTCAAATAGTAATTGTTGTTAATTTGAATTCGTTATCAATGTTAATAAATTGTACGCTACTTGTCTAAATCTTGCCTAAAAATCAACTAACTAGGGCTTCTTTAGAGCAGTCAACCTTTGGCACTTTTCCCTGGACTACCAGATGGGGACATCAGAGCATGAATCAAAGGCGCGACCATCGATCTACGGCCATGATTGCGTCGATGAACTTTGAGTTATTTCATGAATTTGTTTTATTTTGTTATTTGTCTTTTATTATTATGTTGTAATTGTTTTTTCGTTTTTACCCCTTAAATGGATATCATATGTAAGCCCTGAGGGCATTGCCGTCTTTCTTATTTTGAGTCTTTTTGTACGAGGCTATTTATAGCCCTCATGTTGCTCTTCTAAAGTTAATGAATGAATGAATGATTTATCAAATATTATTTTCTTGTGTGAATTCTCATGAGAGCTTGAGAGTCATGGAGAAGGATCCCTAGGAGAGGGAAGAACTCGGATCACCCACCAACCTTGCAGACGGCCGAGTTCGCAGTTTTATTTTCTTTCTCTTTCTCTTCCTCCTCCCATCACCACCTTCGGCTTTACTACTTCCTCCCTTGTCTAGCGGCCGGCCATCCTAGCTTGTCCCATCCGACGGCTAGGTCCAACCACCACCCGAGCCATCATCCCACCCACAAATTTCCCCAAGCCACTTCACCCCAAACCGCCGGCCTTCCCCTTTTCCCCAACCCAAGCAAGCCGCCGGCCACCTTCTAGCCTTACCCCCTTTGGGTTTATTTCCTAATCAAGATTGCCATAATCTTAGTTGGATTTTGAATTCAAATTCACCCAATTTGAAATTTAAAATCTTTCCTAAAATTATAAAATCTATTTTAGGAAAGTTTTCAATCTTGAGTGCGTTTGAATTTTAAATTTTAATGGGATTTAATTAAACCTTTCCTATTTCCTAAATCCAAATTAAGAAACCCCAAATCCCATCCCCTAATCCCTCCTAGCTCCATGATGCTGCCGGCCCTATGTTACCCTCAGCTCCTCTCCACAAATTCCACTCCCTCTTGACTACTTTCCATATGCCGGCCCTATGTTACCCTCAGCTCCTCTCCACAAATTCCACTCCCTCTTGACTACTTTCCATAAGCATCTGCTCTTAATTTAGGAAGGTCTAATTTCAAAATTCAAAATTATTTGAATTTGAAATTCTTTCCTAATTTAGGAAACCTATTTTGGGAAAGTTTCTTATTAAATCATTTTGAATTTCCAATTAATAAGGATTTAATTATTTCTTCCCTAATCCCCTACTCATAAATTTGGACACTTTCCAAATCTCTTTAAATCTGAATTTAATTGGAGATTCCCTTCTCTTAATTAAATATCCTATGTTTGGAAAGAGATTTAAAGCCCCCGCCACCCCCCCCCCCCCCCCCCCCTCTTCCTTTTTTTTCGGACTAGTTCATAAGGGCTTAACAACTTGCCTATAAGCCCTTTCCTTAGTTAACATCCTAAGTTTGGAAAGGGATCATAAATTCCCCATCCAATCACAAGCAAGGTTGCTGCCTCCCCCTTTCCCTTCCTACGTAATTAAACTACTCCCTAGACTCTCAAATGCAGCCATCTCCAACTCTCTCTCAGCCCTAGCCGTCCTTTCCCAAGTTCTCCCCACGTTGCCTTCCTTTTTCCTAAAATTCCTGCTAGTTGTTCCCTCATTCCAGCAAGAGCATCTTGCTGTCCTGCACCCCTGAGGATCACAGGTTGCTGTCCAAAGTTTTCCAGCATCATAAAGAAGCTGCCCAAGGCTTTTCTGAGCAATATAGGTTGCTGTTCAGAACAGATTTCTGCATTCCGGACAGATTCTACCTGCTATCCTGAAGTTTATACACAGTAAACTGCTGTCCTGCATATCCAGAATCGACTTCCTGCTGTCCTAAGCGTCCTCAACCCCAGTCCAACTGCTCCAGCCGAAGAATTTCACTGTCCAGGAGCCCCAACCGCGGGGAGTTGATTAAGGGACTTGTTTCCGGACTTGGACCTCGGTGAACTTCTTCCCCTTTTCAATTACTTTCCTAATCCTCTAATCTTGTAGGTGATGATTCACAAAGGAGACGAGCTTCACCTTCGCCAAAGCTTAGTAAACGTAGGATTTCGCTTCGCCATTACCAAAGCTTAGTAATCGTAGGATTTATCTTCGCCATTACCGAAGCTTAGTAAACGTAGGATTAAATACACTCTCTATGCTTCTAATCTAATGGTTAGATTAGAGATTTTGTTTAAGGCTATTTACTTTGCATGTTTTTGAATTTCTAACTTGTTTTTATTCTCCAAGTGCTTGACATGTGACTTAGCCTAAATGGAAGTGACCGCTCTTATGTTTTATTTGATTGTTTTAATTTGCTAATAGTTCTAATTTTAATTGCTCTTATCAAGAAATTGTGCAAATTCTTATTTCATCATTTTAAAGCATATAGTCCTACATCACTACCTAGCATATTTCAGGTGTTGATCATATGGTTCTTAGTTCGTGTCAATTACATTAAGACTTTTGGATACCAATAACCATTTTGGAAAGCTTTATATTATTTAAAATGTAGATTGCTTTGTGCTGTATTGTACCTTGCAGTAGCTCCCCATATTACTTTTGACTTGCAATCTGCATTGGCTAGTTGGTGCTAATGAGGTCACCCTTCCAAGCTTAAGCATTTTTCACATGAATTCCCATTTTTAATTTCTATTAGGAGTATGTTGAAACTGTCCAAGTATTAATCTTGAATCCTTAATATGTGATGTAGAAACTTTGGAAAACACTTCTTTAAATGCTAGTTTGGAGAATATATATATTTTTAGCAAGATTTCTTCTTTTAATGCTACATGCTTGTGCTTTTGAGATAGACTGCTTGATTTATATTAATGGAACGCTTGTAAATGTTCTGTGAAACTAACTGACGCTTGAGTTCAGGTGAAAATTTATGAGGGAAGTATGTCTAGGAGTCCAAGCAGAAGCAGAAGCAGAAGCAGAAGCCGTAGTAGAAGTCCCAGAAAAAGGAAGAGTCGAAGGTGTGCTTGATGGTTTTTTCACTGCTTTGTTAGTTCGTTCTGAACTGGTTGGCCGCCTAAGTTTAACTTTGTATTTTTTGTAGCAATTCCTTGGACCGCCATGCTGTGAAACGAGCTTCTAAATCAATCTCTCCGAGGCTCAAGTCTGCTTCCCCAGCCAGGTTGCCAAGTTACATTTGTTTTTGAGCTAGTGATCTGAAGAAGCTCTTGATAGTATTTTATAATTTTTCAACAACATTTATGTGTCAACTATAAGCGACTTTAAGATTGACACTATAAATGTACCTAAAGTACTGCAAGGCGCAATCTGGATCTTTTTGCCTGGCATCTCTTTCTACACCTTTTTTTCGGTAGTTAGAGCTATTTAACAGTGGAAAGCTTATATGCTGAACTTCTTTTGTTTCATTTCTGTTATTGCAGGTCATCATCGAAATCCAGATCAGCTTGATCCTGTTAGGTATGATTCTTTTATTTGTTTTCATTTCCATCCGTTATACTGGAACATCTATTTGAACAGCATATTCATATCTGTTTAGAGCTAAATTTCTGTATGATGTCTGCTATCTTGTGATGTCTAATACAATCTTCCAGGCACACGTGCTTCTTCTAAACAGCTAAATAGAGGAAGATGAATCTCTTAATTGCCCAGCTTAATTTAATTATGTTTTCCCTAAATGTTGGTAATGTTGGCTAATTCCTTATGCATATCAATAACTTGTTTGTGTATTGATTATATTTCATTCAAGAAAGCACTAGAGTTTTGGAAACCAGTCTGCCTTTTTACCTCAAATTCGGTTTATTTTTCTCGATGTCCAGAAGAAAGTGGTTGCTGGAGAAATACATGTTTTGCTTTTCGTATAATTGGCTAATACATGGTTATTTCTCTTGTTTTAGTCTTCAAACTGCTAGGTGCGCAGCTATTTCATTGATGTGTTTTGGTGCAACTAATCACATTTACATTTAAATTAATTTACATGAATCTGTTATGCCTAGTAGGATGTGTCCTGGGCAACCCCATCAATGAAATAGCTGGTGCAGCTAATCACCTGATGTATGGTACTGGTCAGCATAGACCTTAAGCTAACTGCTAACCTTTGTGTAATAAAAGAATAACAATTACTGGTAGTTTGCTTTATTTTTCTAGTCCATCACCTTGTTTTTAATAAGTTTACTTCCCTCTGTATTTGTTTGGATAGGGCCTAAGAGTTAGGAGGTGGGTTATAAATATCCAAATTTGAATTGACGCTAACCTATTTAGTTTGATGGTAAATTTTAACATAAGATCATGTTTCCTACTAAGCCAACATATTGGATGACGATTTTCTGGGGCACCACCTTTCAACGCGTGGGTGAAGCTGAAGTTATAATGCGCATGAGCCTAGTTCATCCCCCCTATGGCCCTTCATTTCCTTTGCCTGGCCTAGTTCATCCCCCTCTGTTTCGCCCCTTCGGTTCACCTTACACACCGATTCTTTCCCCCTTGTGCTGGCTGTTTGTTGGCTGTGTCCTACTAGCCTTTCGGGTGTTGCTTCCTTCGGTTGTTTTATAGCCTTCCGCCTCCCCTTTGCTGATTGGATAGCTTAGGGGGCTGTTTGGCTACCTCTCCTCTCCTATATATGGTGGCTAACTTGGGCAACAGTTTTATGGCCTCCCCCCCTTTCTTTGCTGATTGTTTTGGCTGTTTGGCTCCCTTTTTCTACTATAAATTGTGGCTGTTTTGGAGCATATTTAGAGAGAGTTATGTATTAAATTTTGGAGCTAAAAACCTGCGGGTTTCTTCTTGCATATAGCTTGCGAGCTAGTCCCCTTTCTCTTCCTATCTCTATGACTTCGTCTCGGGCTTATCTAATTCTTCTCGTCGCAAGTGTCCACCCCATTTGTATCTTTCTTCTTGATGTAGGCAAGGGGGGTTCAAAACAAGTTGGATTTATTTTTGGCGAGCCTTAATATTCCCTTCTAAATTCAGCCCATAAATGCTTAGTCTCTACTCTTTCAGCTCATAAATATGAAATTAATTGAGGATTTATTTGGTGCATTTCCCCTAGCTTTTGGCCTTTTGATTCCTTCCCATTTGTCTTCTCGGTTTTCTCCTGGCTGTTATTGTTCCCGTGACTTCCCTTTTCTGTTTTCCCCTGACTGTTGTGGTTCCCATGAAAATCCTGTTGGGGTTCCGCCCCCTTTTCCCTTGTCTCCTCGGTTTCTGCTGGTTACGTCCCTTATGTCCTGGATGTGTATGTATTTGGCTGATTTTTGGGATGTCTTTTCAGCTGTTGTTTGTGGTGTCTCTTGGCGTTCCATTCCCCTTGTTTATTAGGTTTTGAATAAGATTATAGGTGCTTTTTGGCTGCCCTCTTTTGGCCTATATATATGTGATGTTTTGGCAAATAGAAGAATGGTATGATGGTATTTTTGGAACTAGAGAACCTGAGAGTTTTCCTTCCTTCTTTGGAAAAGCTTGCGAGCTTGTTCCATTTTTCTCTTCTCCTCTAGGAAAGCTTGTGAGCTTGTCCTTTCTTCGTCTAGTCTTCTAACCTCTTTCTTTTATCTTCAAGTGCCACTCCATATGTATCATTCTTCTCAAAGCAAATGAAAAGCAAGTTTAGATGTTTAAGGTGTCTTTATTTTAAAAGTTTGTAAGCGGCGTTTGTAAGAGTCCTTTATATTATAAAAAGTGTCTTTTTGGGTATTTTTGTGTATTTTCTTTGTCCTAGGAAGTATATCATTTGATCGCAAAAATTTGGGGCTTTTCCCAAATTTTGCTTGCATCACTTCTCAATCAAGGAAAAAGCTGTTTTAGATGTTTTTATGTTTTAAAATTATGAGTTGTAAGGTGTCGTTGCAATGTGTTGTCCTTATTATATGTTATTATTAGGTATTTTGTCCTTTATGAAAGGAAGACTCTATTTTGTTTGCAATCTTAGGTTTTTTCTAAATTTTTGATTGCATCACATACTTGGTAAATGGGTGTGAGGGATGTTGATAAATCCCATGTATAAAAGACAGAATCCTCCTATGGATTGTGCCACCACCCATACTTTTTGTTGCATGTCTATTTTGACTTTTGATTTTGACTTCCTGATTGGCTTTTTAGAACTTTTGGAGTTATATTTGCCTTGTTCAATTTGACCTATAGCCTGGCCTGAATTTCACGGTGGATATTGAATCAATCTCGACCCTATCTAACACTCGGGTTTGACAAGCTTTAGATGCTGATTACCTCTTTTGGTTGCTTTTTATTATTCTCATTTTGTTAAACGGGGCTTATAAAATATTATCCAATTTGCTCTCATTGGCAAATCTTGCCTCATGAATTTTTTTTCTTGTAAATGCTTCACTCTGATAAGATTCATACTAGAAATGGTGTATGTATGATTATATATAAGAGTTTAAAGGTAATGTTGTAAAAATTAATAGAAATAGTGATAGAATTATAGCTTTAAAGATTGTTTGTTGATGCGAAGATTATTAATATTATAAGTACTTATGCTCCTTAAGTAGACTTATATATGAGTTCAAAATTAAAATTTTGGAATTTCTCGTTAGAATTAATACAAAAGATACCTCTTAAAGAAAAAAAATTATTGGAGGAGATTCAAAAGGACATATTGGTAGAGAGGTATATGATTTTAAAAATATTCATGATAGTTATGAGTTTGAAGCGACTAATGGAGGTTGTAAGATTATATTAGAATTTTTTTTAACTTATTATTTTGTAATTGTTAACATCTTATTTAAGAAAATAGATGAGCATCTAATCCCTTATAAGAATGGATATTGTAACTCAGATTGATTATTTTCTTATAAGAAAAATGTATCTTTTAGATTGCAAAAACTATAAAGTTATTCTAAGTAAAAGTTTATGTACCTAATGTTGGTTATTAGTTTTGGATTTCATGATAAAGAGGTAGAAAATAAAAACTAAATTAAAATGTTGTTCTAGTTAGATGGGGGCATTTAAATAATAGTAATAAAAATAATTTTGAGAATAAGATGCTAGATCATAAAATTTTATTTGTGCACGAGGAAGTTAATGTTATTTGAGAAATAGTTGCTAATAATACTTAGAATGTTGCAAAAGATGTGTTTAGAGTATCAAATGTAAAAGCTCCTATTAATAAAAATAGTTTCTTGTGGAATCAAAATGTGCAAGAAAAGATAAAAAATTAGGAAGATTTGTTATAAAAATTGATTTTGATATAAAAATTCTAATAATTGGGAAAGATTTAAAGATGCTGGTAAGGAGTCTAAGAAAGTAATATGCGCTGCAAATATTTTAGCTTTTAATTGATTATGGAGGGTGAAAGATATATGCAATAAGTTAGCCAAACATATATAAGAGTAGCAAGCATTTAGGTCAGGTGAAGTGTATTAAGGTTGAAGATCGAAAAATGCTTTTATTAGAAGAGGATATTCAATAAAGATAGATGATATATTTTTATGAACTCTTCAATGAAGATTATGAGAATGCGATTAACTTTAGTGACCTTAGTACCCTAAATGAAAATAAAATTTTTTATTTTTATCGACATATTAGTAAAATCGATGTTAGGGAGGCTTTAAAGAAAATGAAGTGTGTAAAAGCTATTGTACATGATGATATTCCAATAGAGGTGTGGAGATGCTTAGGAGATGAAGGAATTTCTTGGCTTACTAAACTTTTTAATATTATTTTGAAGACTAAACGATGCCAGATGAGTGGAGAATGAATATATTAATTACTATTTTAAAAGAAAAGGTAATGCATAAGATTGTGCTAGAATTATAGAGGAATTAAGTTAATGTGTCATACTTCAAAACTACAGGAGAGTTATGGAGCATAAGGTTGCGAGGTGATACTAATATTTTTGAAAATCAAATTGGATTCATGCCGGGTAGATAGATCTACATGGAAGCTATATATTTATTAAGAGGTTTGATGAAGTATAGAGAGAATAAGGAGGATTTACATATAAAATTTATTGATTTAGAGAAAGGATATGCTAAAGTTCTAAGAGAAGTTCCATGGAGAGTTCTAGAAAAGAAAGGGGTTAACAACACTTATATTCAAGTCATTAAGGAAATGTATGCAGAAGTGATTACTTGTGTTCAAGCACAAGGTAGTTTGAACAAATATTATCTTTTTTTAGTTGTATTACTTCAAGGGTTAGCCTTGAGCCCATGTCTTTTTGCTTTAGTCATGGATGTTCTCACTTCTCACTAGACATTTGCAAGAGGTTGTACCCTAGTGTATGTTTTTTGCTGATGATTTTCATAGGACTAAAGAGAGTGTTGATTGTAAACTTGAATTATGGAGGTCAACCTTAGAGGCTAAAGACTTTCACTTGAGTAGATCTAAAGTTGAATATATGGAGTGTAATTTTAGTAATAATAGATCTAGTGGGGGAATTGTGACTTTGGGTGATTAAGTCATTAATTAGAGTACATGTTTTTGATATCTTGATTCTTTTTTTTTTTTTTAATATCTTGATTCTATTGTTCATAGTGATGGTGAAATAGATAAGGATATTATTCGTAGAATTCAAGTTGGATGGTTGAAGGGGAGGAATGGATTGAGCTTGTGTGTAATAGAAAAATTCCCTCAAACTTAAGGGAAAATTCGAGAAGATGGTGGTTAGACCTGCAATGCTTTATGGTGCAGAATGTTGACAATTAAAAAAGAAGCATAATATTAAGTTAAGTGTTTGATGTGACATAAAATAGAGCAAAGACACAAATCTACCTTTCTTACAACATAAATAAATAGTTGCAAATTAAGAGACAACTTTATTCCTTCAAACAAAGACAAACATAAACATGATAAAAATATTATTAAAACAAAGATACGCTACAATTTATTAAAACTTAAGAAGAAAGATACTTGTGAAGTGGAAATCGTGGAGAGTAGGTAGAAAGTCTGAGACAAAATTTAAGAAAATAGGGAGGTCGAAGAGGATAGTAGAAAGTCTGAGACAAAATTTAAGAAAATAGGGAGTTCAAAGAGGATAGCTCGCAAGCTATTGAAAACCCAATGTGTTAATTCTCCAAAAATCATCACAGAACTCTCTCTAAAACAGTAGCAAACAACTCTCTCTCTCTCTCTCTCTATATATATATATATATATATATAAAGGAAACCAATCAGCCTTCCACAGGTGCCACCCAAGCATCCAATCAAAACATGGAAAAAATTCAAAGAACAAGGGACGATCAGACCAGGAGCCAAGCATCCCAACTACCAGCCCAGGAACCAAATCGTCAGGAAACCCAATAGACACCAAGGAAAGACACAACCAGCCCAGGAATCGAGGAGCCAACCAACCCAACAACCAGACACGACCAGTCAAGAACCCATCAGTCGAGGACTCCCAAACACCAAGCAGCCAAGGCCAAATGGGCCAAGCCCAATAGAAGAAAAACAACCCTCCTATAAATACTCATTTGAATTTTTTTTTTGGCCTACATCAATTTTGCAGAGATGAGAATGCTCGAGTGGATGAGTGGCTTTACTCTTAGAGACAGACAAGATACGAAATTGAGCTTATACATGATAACGTTGGAGTAGCTCTAGTGGAAGATAAGATTAGAGAGAGTAGCCTTAGATGATTTGATAGCACAGAACGGCGCCCTTCCGATGACCCGGTTAGGAAAGTAGATGTATTAGATGGGAGTTACCTTTAAGAATGGTAGAGGTAGTCCTAAGAAGGCTTGCTTTGAAAATATTAGAAATGACATTTCTTTATTAGATTTAAATGAAAAATTTCTCTCTTAAGAGAACAATGGACAAAAAGGATTCATGTTGCTTTATGTTGTTGCTGTTGATGTTGTCGGAAATGCTTCACTCTGTTTATTACAGCCTGCTAGTAAGCTCTGCTTGAACATTCTTCATGGATTTGATGGCCGAGTTGCATGTTTTAGAGTTAAATTCATGTCAGATGGAAATGGCTCGATAATTTTAATCTTGAAGGTGCTTATATTCTCATGAGCATGAAATCTCTGACATAATTATGTGATATACGGGTATCTGACCTTCTCTTTGAAACATTATCGTCTCTATTCTTAGCTTTAACTATTTTCTTGCGGACATCTAATAGCACATAAAGGTGATTTCAAAAGTTGGTGTTATTTTTCCTTTCTTTCAATCAAATCTTCAAGACATTCTAATCATTGGCCTGATTTTTTCCGTGTATTTGTAAAGTTCGTTTATTTTTCAATCTATTAGAAACTTGTTCTTTATATTTTAAATGCTTATTCTAGCATTTCAGTGTTATTATCTTCATACGAACTGGTGTTGGTGTAGCTCTGAATTGTTTTTTTTTTTTTTGCACAACTGCCCTTGCACAGGTTTGTTGAGTTCAGTGGGGTCGCTGCACCACCACAGCATGCACCATGCTGCCGTTCCCGGGAAGTAGCCATCTTTCTTTATCTACTATGGACTGCAATTTTGTGTCTACCAGTTAGTTCTGGAGCATCGGATTTTAAAAGTACAACTTCTTACTGTTGTGTTTATTTATCTTTAACTGCATTTCTTTGATATGACGTTTGTATTCTCTTCCAATGTTTGTCAACAAATTCAAACGAAAGCATGATAACGCTTACCTCCTCTGTTGAGGCTAAACATCACCGCAAAACGCTCCTTTCCTTTCTGATTTGATGATTTGCATGGTATGGAGTAAACATTGGGGATCATAGGAATGAAGTTAAATGAGTCATAAAATGAAATGAAGTGAAATATTAGTTAAACATTAAACTGAAGAGCTAAAAATATTAGGTTTGGAATGGTGAGTTTTGTTAGGAATTTAAATATTTAATGCTAAGAAAGATTTTGTACATGGTGCTTTCTCTTATTCATATGATACACTAGATTGAATTTATTTGTTGAGGTTGGTAAATATATACATGATCGATGAATAACTAAAGCATTATGAATAATTAAAAAAAAATTTAGTCAAGCAGGATCAATTGGTTGCGGGAATGCTTATAAAAGATATAAATATTGAATTATTTGGTGCTTGCCATTATTATGGGTAGTTTGAGTGATTCATCTAATGTCTATTATTGTAGAGATAAATTAAGAGCAAACTATTGAAGATAAATTTGGATAGTTATAGTAAGATCCAAAAATAAGTTCGGCACGCATTTAGACATTTGAGTGCGATGAGTTGCAACTTCTAACGTCTTCAAGCATTTGGCTTCAGCTAAAAGTAGAAGATAATAAACTTTTTGTTATAAATCCTCTTTGCATCGCGTATCAGTTATCTGCTTGAAAATTTTCTTCTGAGTTGAATTTTCTTGTTGTAATTGAATGGCCACATGCAAATATTTTTGTTTCATGTTTTGCAATCGAAATAGTACATTTGCTTTATATCCACGAACATATATATGAGTAATTTTACTTATCATTGATACCCATTTATGTTCTTTGTACCCTTTGCTTGCTGATGTAGTCCCTGCCTTCTTTTTATACGTATTAATATGATTTATTTCCGGTGGATAAATTACTCTTGGAAAGTTTATGATGTGTAGTCCAAGCCACGACATTTTCTAGCAGTTAAGAACAATTTTCATGATTAAACATTTAATTAGGAAGCTAATCTCTCTGATTTTAAAGAGTTTTGATGATACAAATTGTGAAACTGGCTTCATTAGTGGTCATAATAAAGAGAAAGGTACACTATTTGTCTTATTTTTGTATTCAGTCTTTAATAATCCATTAGAGTATTTATAGGGATATATGAGTTTTATGACCATTGCCTCTATTTATAGATTTATTTCTTGTAAATATGAAAGAAAATAAATAAGGCATATATTGGCTTGCTTTGATGCTATTTAAGGGAAGCTAATGTACCTCATATTTTTAACTTTTATGAAGCTTTTGTTGAGAAAAGTTCAATATATATTATATATATATATATATATATATCAGTTCCCATTATTATTTGACTATTACGTTAATTACTCTACCAAATATATAAATATTTACTAGAAATACAATATTTAATTTAATTTTTTAATTTATTTCAAGAATAGGTTTCTCAAATTTAAAATTATCAAACATTGATGGAATAGTTAATGTACGAACAATGGTAGATAACTTTTTTAGAGTAGGGGCTTTATAAACAAATAAAATAATGTATAAAAAATTAAAAGAACCTCTCGTAAGTTTAATAACAAAATAATGTAAATATCTTTAGTAAGAAGCACTAGTATATCTTTTGATGCAACTGAAGGAAAAAATTTTAGTGGCTTACCTTCTCTTTTCTTCGCGGTATGGAAATTTCGTAGTTCACTTATGGTTGGCTTAAACAGTCTTTAAGTTTTTATGAATTGGGGCTAATAATGTCATGGCTGGTTGACCAGTGATGGTGGATGATTTGATGGTATGTAACATAGACAATTAAGGTAAACTAAACATATTAGATATGCAAGTTTTAAATTCAAAATTTTTTAGTTGGTAGTAAAAACTCTAATTTAAGAAATTAAGATGAGCTATATTTTAATCTCAGCTTTTGTAATCTCTCATAAATAGGGTAAATTATTATGTCCGGACATCAATCTAGATGTGTCATGTTACTAAAATGTATCGGGACGCAGTGTATTCGGGTGACGTGGCGCGTCTGAATTGAGTGCCCGAATGTCTGATGATTGGACGTAATAGTTCGCCTGTAAATAGAGAAGTCAAATAGCTTCAACAACCTTTGTTTTTGAGAGAAAAAAAAAACCTAATGGTTATGGGTTGAGTCAGTGAGTCACATGCACCCAATACCCCTATCATAAATAGGCATGAACATATCTTTATCTTAATAAATGTTCGATACTCAATATGAATATTACTCGATATACACTGAAATTTTAAACATGTTATGAAGACAATTAAAGGATGAATAAGTTTAATTACATTTCACATTCATGATTAACAGTGCATAGCACAACAATTGTTGTTAGATATGCTAAATTATGGATAGTGTTGATCTTAAAGCTTGTAGCTTTTGGTATTGATGGTTGTATGTCTACTTTCTAAACTAGTTTTATATTTTAGCAGTTTGGTTGTATAGCTATCATAACTCACTTATCATAACAAACATGTTTAGATGTTTATGAATGAATTGATTTATTATTTCTCTTTCCATATCGTGATTATTGTGTTATTATATTACAATTCTAATGTATGTTTTATCTCAAATTATGTAATCTCCTAAGATGGGACAAAACACATTCTATGAATGAATGCACATAAATAAATAAAAAATGAAGCAAATTTGGTGTATTTTTGCTATTTATAAAATTAAAACCTATCTCTATTTCAAAATTTTCAATCAAATTTAATTTTTTATTCTTAATATTTTATCAAATTCTCAATAATTTAATTGCTATCATCTCAAATACATAAATTTATTAATTTGCTTGTTAAATTTATAAATTAGATTAATTTTGGTGTCATGCATTATATATTTGTATATACCTCAACGGATGTCTAATAGATGGTCGCATTAAAGGAACTCGCATTTGGAAGGACCTAGAAGCAAACTTACCCAATGCTTAATAGGTGCTATTCGCCCGAGCATATAGGAGGCTGTTCCTCATTGGAGGGAATCAAAGGTACTCATGTATCAAGGACTCGCCATTTGCATTATGAAGAAAGGATGTCAGCCAAAGCAACACGCCCTAATCTAGGGTTAGTGTTGTCACACCCCATAATTTAATTTGATGAAAAAATTATTATGTTATCATTTAATTACATAATCCAAACTACATTTCTTTTTATCAATATAAATAGAAATTATCGATCAAAACATCATTATATACACGTATTTATTTTCATAAAATTATGTATAGTAATTAGGATCTATACAATCATATAAGCATTCTGTGTCGAGTATAAAATAAAACAAAATAGAACTCACGTGCTCCTTTGTCTTGATTTGAAATTATTTAATCACATATAATGAGCTCATGAGTTTAGTAAATAATCAAATCCTACAATTAAATTCAATGCACGACAAAAAAAGCAATGCATTTACAAAGGACAACTATAATAATTAGTAGGAGGTTACTCTAAAGAGGAGATCATCTAAGGGTTTAGTACTAAGCTTGCATGTGCACATGCCCTACCAACATGTATTTAGAGAGAAAGAAATCTACGCGAATGTTGAGGCACTAATTAAATTAGCATTAAATGCATAAATTGCGGCTATTTGTCTCATCATTGCCAGCGGATTTGGTGGCTCTTCACCTACTTGCCCTACTTAATAATCGCCAATAACTATTTCGCACATACTCACCCACATTTCATCCACCGTGCATCTCACCATAAAATTTCATTTGCAAAGAGGCATTTCAAAAAAGCTAAATCATCATCTTAGAGCAAGACAACAAACTAACTATTCGATAACATTACCCAACCCATTACAATAACATAAAACCAATATGACAAAACATTCCAAGTATTCCACTCAGGGGCCGACCCAACCATATTTTTTAGGTGGGAGGGGGGAATTGCCCCCTAGAGCTTAAGGTGGATCCGTCGATGATTTTACTCATTACACAACACACACATGTAGTTACTCAATCATGCTTATAATATTAAAGTGCTCGTTTTAATAATAAAAAAATACAAATTATCTCAAACAAACTAAAAAAAAAATAATAGTTGCATCATGAAAGAAAAATACACAGGGTGAAGCTAACATCTCAAGCATGAAAATTTTATCAATACATAAATTTTTACTTAAAAATAAAGTGGTGCAAAGCTATTTATCGCCACGAAAAACCCCGGGCCCCTACAAATTCAACATCTTCTCCAAGAGGTTAAGTCACCTATAGCCACCACCTCCAGCTTAGTCCACCCATAAGGAGGAATAACGTTAACTTTCTTATTACTTTCAAATTCAGCTTTCTAGTTGAATTGAATACATGCATGAAATTCTCTCTTAAAAAAATGGACACATTTTTTAAAAAAAAAGTTTCTCACGTAATTATATGCATATATTCATAATCTATTATTCTCTCTAATATTTTTTTATATATTTGGGTAGTAGGAGATGACATTATAGTACTTCCTTTTCCCTTAAATTATGCTTTAATCCATTTTGTTTGCATTACTTCTTTCACGTTGTCCTTTTGAATAACAAATATGTAAATAATTTATTACTTTCAAAAATTAATGAACGGATATTATTTTTCCCCGTCATCACCTCCACCCGTCATCTCATGAAGTCAACAGGCCCCACCTTCCCCCACTTCGCCCACTACTTCACCACGACAATCAGGCCCCACTACCCACCTCACAAAACCGGGCCCACAACCCACCTACAAGTCCACTCATATGACAGCAGGCCTGGGCCTCCCCTTTGGCCCACCACCCTAATCGGGACCACCGACCGACCAGAATAAATGAAATAATCACCCATAAATCTTTTAGACTCCAAAAAAAAAAAAAAATGGGTGCCATTTAGTTCATAAATATAATTAAAATTATTGTAACAAGTTTCCTATAATAATAATAATAATAATAATAATAAAAACTTAGCACTTGCAGACCATAGAGGTTTTTTTTTCCCAGAAAAAAACACGAAATTAATGGTTAACCATTTCGAGAATCCATGAAATTCTAAATTAGACTAGACATAACTGATCTGATATTACCAGATAATTAGCGATTTTCAGTAAAATTGCCAAAAAAAATAAAAATAAAAATAAAAAAAATCCCTACTTATCTGGTACTTTTTCAGATGGAGGTCCCCTACTTACTTCCTCCTCTTCCCTACCTTCCTCTTGCGTTTCAGCCGTCTCCCTCATCAACTGCAACTCCTGCTTCCCGCCTGCCGCCGTCGGCGAACCATCTTCCTGCCCGCCGCCGACTATCATACTTCCGGCCGGAAACCCCCACATCTGACTCGACGGCAACATCCACACAGCCCCCGGCGCCACCATCGCAGCGCCGCCGCCGGCGATCGCCCACATAGGCGTAATCGGCGCTAACCCTGCTGGAATCGAAATCGCCCCTCCGGAAGGGATCAGTGGCCTATCGGACCCTCTCATCGGCTGCAGTTTTTTCCTCTTCTTTCCGGCGTCATCCTCCGCCTGCGAGATTGAAGCAGCAGCCGGTGCCTCCGTGGGAACCTTTAGGGTTCCATTGACGTTGGTAGCTATCGCGGGGATAGTTCCAGTCCCCGTCGCGGCGAAGATAGCGTGCTCCGCGTGCTGGAGAAGCCATCGGATGGTTTCGCCGTCGGATTTATGGCCCAGCTCGCGTGTCAGCTGAAAGATCCGCGCCGCGCAGGCAGCCGGCATCCGGATCCTTCGTCCTCTTCCTTCCACTTTCGTGTGGCGATCCTTGCTGCGCTTCGCCGGGATCTGGACGATCGGAAGCGGGGTTTCGATCGTCTCTAACGGCTCCGACTTTGGGATTATTCGCCGGTCTACGCTGATCGATGTTCCGTTGTCGTCTTCCATCTCCTTCTCTTGAGAGTCCATTTCTGTTTCACTGCCAAAATAAAAACAAAAATCTCACGCCTTTCGCCTTTTTCCCTCCTTCCTCTCCGCTTAGTGAACAAAAAGGGTGAGCCAAAGACACGCACGAACCGAAACCCTAGCGACCTGACCTTGCTTTATACAGTCGACCGTCCACCGTTTAGTGTAGGTGAGGATGGGCCGAGTATCTGTAATGGGCCCTTAAACATTATCTGAGCCCACAGGTTCTTTAGTGAACAATTGAGCTTTTCTACGGAGAGCGGTACTTTCTTGCTTATTTTTTTAAAGCGATTTCCTCTCTGTGCGTACATGACGCCGCACGCCGTTATCTCCTCGATGAACTTTTATTTGGTCCGGCGGTGAACGTACGTTCCTCTACGTTCGGCCACCAATGTATTAGCGCCACGTAGCAGGAAGAAAAGACGCCGACCCGACCCGCTGTTTTTTGGGTTCTCGCACGAGCGTTTTTTTTAAATCCTTGACGAGCCGATCAACATCCCATTACCTTTTGGATATATTTCAAATACCTAGCAATACCGAGCAAATACTGAGTTGTACCTAATTTTTTCTAGCAATACCGAGCAAATACCTAGCAATATCGAGCAAATCTCTAGCAATACCGAGCAAATCCTGAGCAAATACCAAGTTGTATCGAGTTGTAAAAAATTCGGTACAACTCGATATTTGCATGGTATTGGTCTTCAGAGAGCGGTATTTCTTATTTTTGCAAACCAATACCGAACAATACCGAGAAAATCGCGAACATAGCATTTTCGGATTTTGCTCCGGGTCAAGTCGTCGGACCGCGCGGTTTAGAGTAAGAGCACGTGGCGACATGTTATTGGCAGCCGAACGTAGCTCTACGTCAGGTCAAAGGACGTAATAATTGTTCCTCCTCGATGGCCTTTGGTAGAGTCCTCACACATGTGGCTTTTTTATGTCACGTGCATTAAGGGGGTTAGTTTGGTGATAAAACTATGTAGATAGTAAGGCTTTGAGTATTATATATGTACATCCTCATTTTTAATATCTCAATATTTAATTTATCTATGACTACATATAGCCTCAATTACTTTTATTTGGCTAAATATTCTCTAAAATATATTTTTAGAACAAAATATATTAGATTAAGAATAATTTTTGAAATTTATTATAATTATAAGTTCTCCGAATGTGGTTTGAACAACATCTTCATCGGCCACCTGAAATCCTTTCCGCCAAGTGACGCTCCCCTTTTATGGAAAAATTATTCGCTTGGTAACACAGCACAATATTGCTCGGTATAGTTGACGTGACACATTTTGATTGATTGATCTCCGGATGAGATTCTGCGACTAATAATTTCTCCCTTTTAAGCGATTATCTTAAAAATTCCAAAAAAATTGAATAAACTATGAGCATATTCTTCTGAATTGAATCTAGAGCGAGTCAAATATTTTTCCATCAATTTTTAGAAAAAAAAATTCTCATAAAATCAGTACCTTCTCAATATTGGATTCCAGCATGGCTGGGAAAACCAACCGATCTGGCGGACTGGTTCAGGAGAACCGCCGGCTTGGTCGACCACAGCCTTGGAAGAGAACAAAAATACGGGTGGCCCCAACAAGCGACCGGATGGTCCCGCTCTTTCCTACTTTTTCAGTTTTGTGTCCATCTGGCTGTACCATTCACGGTGGGTCCTGTCATCCGCTACCGTCTGACTAGCCGGTCTACGCTCCGCCGGTTCGGCCGTCCCGGTCCGTTCCTCGGCTAGGGGCCCACTGGCCTGCACTTTTCCGCCGGCTGAATCTCAACACGGGCAGGCCCTTTCCCGCCACCATCCCATCATTACGTAGAACTGGGGCCCACGAGCCCACCCGCAAGCCCGGATAGGAGACCCCGCCCACGCATGTTCGTATATATAAAGACTCACTGAAGGCGCGGGCCCATCCATGTGGGCCCCAACCTGGGCGTACGCCGTCTACCTAAAGTTTAAAAAGTTTTTTACTAGCTACTTTCCGCGCACAAAGAAAACAAACCCAAGGATATGACGGCAGATAAGCATCCACGTGGTATTCTATAATCTTGGTTCTATTTCTTGGTCGAAATTGAGTTCTGTTGTAAATTTATATATGCATTCGAGGAATTTGTCAAAAAAAGGTGAGGTGAAGTTTCGAGTATTACCGAGTCCATTCTAACATGGTTAGCGATGCGGCTGCGTCAAGTGAGTCAAGTGAGTCAAGTGAGTCAAATGAGTCAAGTGAGTCAAGTTGGCATTGAGTCAACTCAATTCAACTCCATCCATGCCATGAGCTATGGCTCAATTATTTATTTAGCCAAAATTGAGCCAACTCCAACAAAAATATATTAATGTAAAATATATTCAAAATATTTTAAATTAGAAAAAAAATATTTAAATTTTGTATCATTTTTCTTTATATTAAATTATTGTTTAATCATTTCTTCTCTATTATCTATTTGTTTAATCATTTATTACAAGAGCTTCTCTCTTTTAAAATAAATGATCCGCTATGAATCGGTTTGAAATCATAAAATTAAACTCAAATTTAAATTCAAATTCAGATGGCTTAAACTCGACTCATTTATTCCTATGCATCGTATTAATGATTAACATTAACATACAATCAAACATAAATGAGCTCAAAATTATTCCCCAAATTAGAGTTTTTATAATTATCATTTGTATTTAAGAAAATTTATATTACATTCTTACTTATTATAAATTTTTTTGTTAAAAGAGTAAAAGGCTATTTTAGAAAGCAACAAAAAATCTATTCCAAACAAAGTCTAAGATCCCTACGTAAATTTTTATTTTTGTATCAAAAAATCGTTTTAAGAAAGTTAAAAAAGAATATTCTTCAAATAATGTAAAATATGCCTATCCTTTGTGATATTTTCTAATTTCCTTTCATTTTCATGCTTACTACACACAAGCGAAAGGTAGTTTAACAAGACAGATAGGTTTTCCAATGACACTTCAACACGTTGACAGCAAGCGTTTAATGCCTGCTTAATTTGAGGCTTAAGTTAAAGCTAAGTAAAACAAATTCAACAATGTGACTGGCTTACAGCTTAAATGATGTTAATTTCCAATTAAATAATTACATTGCTATAATATAGCATTAAAATAAATTACTGTATTAACAAAACACAGAATTATAATAAAAAAACTTAATGATCATAAATTTAATTTAGTAAACATCAATTTTACTTTAAACTTAATGATGATTAGTTTATTTTAATAATATTTCAATTTAGTTAATTAAAAAGTTTTCATTCTTAAAAACTTAGTTATGTGGAAAAGTCGAGCTCATAAAACATTAAATTTAAATATTTTTAAAAACTAATTTTATAACATTATAAAGTTTATTAAAAATAAAGGTATTTATATCTTATTTATAAGCATTTGTTGCAGGCTAGTGTATTCATGACGGTAGAGTGAAATAATTTTTTATCTTAGCGATGCACCGGTATTCAACACACAAACAGATAGTTGAAGAGATAGCGGATAAACGCTAGAAATTTTTTTTGTAAAAAACCCAAAAAGAGAAAAATCACGGGGTCTTGCCCAGATAAGAAAATTCCACTAAATTTGAGTGAATTATAAAGGTTGACTCGTCCTTTAGCTTAGAGGCGATGAAATTACCATGATTTTTAAAATCGGACCGGACCGGTCAGTTCGACCGGTTCAACCGTGAACTGATCTTATGATCAGTTCGGTCCTTTTGAAAAAAGGTTTATCTAAGTGATCGTCGGAACTAGTCTCGGGGTTAAGAATGCGGCGCCCGGATTCAAGCTGTTACCCTTCAGTTATCTATTTGGCTATCAAACTTTAACCATGTTAATATTGATTTATACAATTATTATAACTATAGGCAGATAGTTTAATCAAACCCGTCAATATCTTAAATATGTCCAGTATTTTGATTCTTCCAGCTGATACCAGCCAAATAGCGCCGATCGCTCTCATATGCATGCGAAGTAATATATACCTTTACTATCTCTCTGTAATGATCGCCGTGTGCGCGTATCACCGAGGAGTTCACTAACCCACTTATCCCTCTCGCGTGTTAAATCCCATGTCGAGACCCTCCCTACCACATTAGACTACAATGAAAGATGGCATTAAACAAACGAGCATAAAACTCCTAACGTGAATATGAGACTAAAAAAACTAGAATTTCTAGTTGCATGAGAATTTGCTTAAATGAGAATTTTTGGAACAATTTCAAATAAAAATATAATCATAATAATGTTTTTAACTTCTTAAATTTCAATAATTAATTTTATATATTTATAATTATTCAAAAAAAATTAATTATTTATAATTTTTAATGTTCTTAAATTTTCTCCTAAATGGGAAATTCAAATAATATTAAGAAAAAATTTCTTAGAAAAAATAATTATTATTATGATCCTAATAAATATATTTTTATAATGTTAAATTTATATAAATTTATAGATGTAAATACTAGTAAATAAAAATATAATACTTAACAGCTAATTTTTATACATTAAATTTATAGATTTTATATAAAGAATTTTATTAATATAAATAAAAATTGGAATTAATAATATTTGAAATATGTTATATTTAAATGAAATTTATTATTTATTTATATTTAATATATAATTATTAAATAATTATTTATATTAATTTTAAAAATTATTGTAATATCATTATATATGCATGATTTCTTTTTTTTTAGTTCTAAACTTCCCAATTATATTAGTGAAATTTTTAAGATTAAATTGTCATTATGAGTATGTTAATTTTATTATTTTTAATAATATTATTATTTATTATGTCATCTAATTCGACTCCGTTTCAACCGACCGAACCGTGAACCTCTCCTTCCGGTTGCTCATCCCGTCTGATTTTCACAACCTTGAAAATTACAATAGTTTGGAGAGTCGGTCAAACTCCTTATATATATTTAGGAGTTTGTAATGATCGCAGTTGGGTTAGAAAGTTGGTGGCAATTAGTGGCCGGGCAGAGGTTCGATGACAATCAATGTTCGAGCGAAGATCCAGCGTCGGTCCACAGCTGGGAAGAGGTATGGGAGCTGTTGGAGGCCGGGAGGAGGTCTGGAGGCTGTCGGCGGCGGTTGGTCGGGTGGTGATCGATGGTCGGGCGGTGGTCGACGGTGGGGCGGTGGTTTAAAGGTTGTCAACGACCGGACGGTTGTCTGGCGGCGATCGCGATAGGGCAGAGTTCTGGCAGGTATGCAGAGATGCGACGATAATCAGCGGTCGCGCGGTAGTTCGACGATGGTTGGCAATGGAGAGAAGGTTCGATGGTGGTCAGGAGACTGGCGATGATCCGATCTGCCGACAGAAGTTTGCCTGCGGTTGTTCTTAGGTACAACTCTAGATCCTTGAAGCCTTAGTACTCTATGTAATCTCCAGCCAAAGGTGCCCCTCATGAAAAGAGTAGAGGCCTATTTATAGATCTTTGTGAGTGACACACCCTATAAATATGGAGAAGATCCAGGGCAAGTTCAGAGTGCTCCATTGGACGGCCCATCTAATTCCCTCAATTATGGAACATTTTTCAAGCATTTAAGTGTCTTAATGACATCAAAATTAAGCGATATTGGGCTCATTGGATTCGTTTGGTCGAGCTGCTTGATTTAACTATAATCATGCCATACTTCGAGATCATTTGGTCATCCAATTAATATTTTGAACCTTCCAAATACGCTTTGATCCCCAGATTTGAATCCATTTGGGCTCGAATTGGACCGATTTTTGTGCCTTTGAGCTTGTCTCTTTGAGATGTTCAATTTGACTAAAAATTTGTTTAAATCACAATTTGGATGATCCCAAATTTAATAGTGAAAGTGACCAACTAAGATATGTCTCAAGATTCGTGCTTGATCAAGGCAATTTTTGATGATGTATCAGCACTCAAGTTCAATCTCACCAACCACATAATGTATATTTTGGTCTAATTGGGCTTAAAAGATATGAAAATGGTCTGTTTCGCTTATTGCTTAAAAGCAAACTTAATACTTGACTTGAACCCCAACCAAAAAATTCACCTTAATAGACCTAAAATTATAGAACTGAAAATAAGCTAAAAACAGAACTGAAAGTTTCAAATTGAACAAACATGAAATATTGATCATGCAAATAGAACTGAAATGCGAAAAGCTGAGAAGACTGAGGATATTAACAAGTGAAACCTCAGTTGTAGCTGTGAATGCGAGCAGTAATGGGTGTGCTTGCTACATGCGACTAGGAGTCGAGGAGGTTTATGAGGGCTGCACTGACTCAAGTCGTTCGAAGGAGCACGATATGAACTCTTTTTTTTTTCTTTTTTGGGACAATTAGGGGAATTGTGCTAGGAAGAGATGGGAGAAATTTACCACTCGGCCGCAGGAGCAATTATTAGGTCCTTTCACTGGATGTAGAGGAAGGTTCGGTTTTAGCCAAAAATAAGTAAAAAGTGCAAATACCGAGTTTTTTGAAAAACTCGGTATTTTTTCAAAAAACTCGGTATTTGCACTTTTTTAGGCAAAACCGAACCTTCCTCTGGGTCCTTGCACCGGACCAAATAAAAGCCCCGGCCGCAGACCCGATCTCCACTCTCCTATCTAGTGGAGAAGCGTAAGAGAAGCGGCAGGAGCTTTATATTCATCGCGATCTTGGGCCCCCCGCCTCTCTCTCTCTCTCTCTCTCTCTAACCCGAAATAGAGCCTAGTTTCCTGCAACCTGTGCCGTCCCTGTTTAATAAGGCCCGCTTTCCTCTCTCTCTCTCTCTCTCTCTCTCTCTCTCTCTCTACTTTCTTTCTCCCTTAATATGGCGAGTAATTTGGGAGATATATGGATTCGTATATTATCTGTTTAAAAAACCTCAATCACCCGCCGTCGCTTGGCTTGGTCGGTGAGCAAGTACGGTTGGGAACCCTCCAACCCATGCTCGATTCCCCTCGACTGGGAGGGCCTCTTAAATGGGGTCCAATCAAGTGCGGGCCATAAGGTTTCTGGAGTGGGTGCCTCTTCTAGGTCAAATGAAGATTAGTCACACCGCCAAGTGACTTTTCGGGGGTGACAGCAAGTGGATACCTTGTTCTAAAAAAAAAAAAACTCAATCATTTGTATATTATTTTTATCTGTACAAGTTATGAGTGCTCATCTTTGATTTTTAAATTACATATTTGATTATTATCTATAAAAGATAATTATAAATGTTTAATAATGTTAATAGAAATTAAATAGTTGTTCTTTATTTAATTTCTTAGATTGGAAAGTTAATTATAGAGGTTTACTAATGCTCAGTGCTTGTTAATATAATTTTTGTACTAAATTTGTGTCCCACAAGAAAAAAATCCTAACTCTACCCCTGTCAAGAATGTCCTGATTTAAGTTCAAATAGGCCTAAATCAAGCACTAAAATCATAATTGAAAACTTATCGAGATCATTTGAATGGTCAAATGATCACCAATTTTTACATGACTATAGTTAAAACAAGCGTCTCGATGAGAAAAATCCAACAACATCAAGAACAACATATTTTAATAGCACTAAGACACTAAGAGGTTCATTAAACATCAAATGATCAATTTGATCAACTCCAACCGTCAGATAAATTTCTTAACTTGCCGTCAAAATGATCAGATTGATTTCACAACAAATTATTGGATTTGAAGTATTCTAAAGCTCTAAATATCAATACATGATACCTTTACTATCACCTGAAGTTGCCAAACCACCTACCGTCATCTTATGTCCGACAGTCCGACATTCCGAATTCAATGTCGTTCAACGCTCACCAATGTCTGCCATATATTAGCCACCAATGTTCGATACAGGTCTTTTCGGTCACTAATCTCCTAAGCACACCAATGACCGCCATCCAGCTTTCTTAGTTGGCTCTCATTCATTCTTTCCAATGTCAGACATCTATCAACCATCAAGTCTCATGTGTAGGGGTGTCGATATTTGACACGATCCGAAAATTTTGAGTGGTCAACCCATTTGAGAAACAGGTCGGGTTCGGTATTTCAACCCATTTGTAAAACTGAGTTAGGTTCGGGTTGAACCGGAAACCGAAAGTAACCCGGGTTAACCTGTTTGTGACATTGAGAAGTTTAGGTTTGCTGTCAACACGTCGTAGTCAATCCAAGTTTGGTCGAGTCGTCTGGCTTTGCCGCTTTTGAGATTAACGGGAATCGGTTGTTCGCCAGAGTCGAAGTAAGAAGCAGTGATGTCTTGTCGAGTCGCCTAGTTTAGCTGTTGCGTCTGGTCGAGTCACCTAGTTTCGCTGTTGCATATGGTCGAGTCGTGACAGGAGGCCAGACACGTCTATGTGCCTGCCGACCTCGCCCAGAGTCCAGACACTCTATGTGCCTCCCGACCTCCCCCACAGTCCAGACATGTTCAAGGCTCTCGTCTGTGTGCCGCATAGAGTCCAGACAATTTTGGCTTAGCTAGGTTTTCGTGTCGGGTCGGGTCAACCCGGAAATCCGGCGAGACGAGTTCGGGTTGGATTTTTTGACCCGTCTGCCAAAAAGAGTCGGGTTCGGTTTGTGTTAAACAATATTGGGTTCGACCCGAACCTAAACCGAACCCAATTTTGACACCCCTATATATATGTGCCTTCCTAGTTGCAAACCTTCCCTCCTTAGGTAGAACAATTAATCAAATAATTGAGCGTCGTCTGATACTTTGCTGACAATTGACACCTCAATACTCCTATTTTTACAGTGGAAGACATTTTTCTCAAAACATGTCGACTATATTACAACAAGGTATTTTACAGTTATAGTAAATGATATCTTTTATAATATGTAATATGTAACAGAGAGGTTTATTTGATGTAGATTTTAAGTGTTAGGTAAATAAATAAAATATTTTTAGATATTAGATATTAGATATCTGAATATAATAATATTAGATGAAATGCATGTAAATTCTCTAAATAAAAATACATATTACAAGCAGGAGCTAGGAAGGTTACCTCAATACTTCCACAGAGTAGGCTTAATCCACAAAGTATGTTTCCACATCAGATCTTTATCTTCCATCTCGAATGGAATAATTGTAACCTTACTGCTCTGAATGCAGCACAGGGCCACATCATCGTCCCCGCCAAGCTTCCAACCCTAATCTCCATGGACCATAGCAAGCATTGAGGTAATAGATGCAGTTTTCCTTACAGCCAGCGAAATCACCGTCACCGATCGAGAAGCTCTGCTCATTGTAAAAAAAAAAAAAAAAGAGATCGGCCACGGATGTCAGTTCCTCAATACCACTCCGGAGTCTACCCTTCGTTTTCCATCTGAAAGGCCTCGAATTACTCACCTTCCAAACCGTAAGAACTGCCCTTGACGAAGACCACGAGATTTCCGATCGTCTCCACAAGATATCCTATCCGAACTTCAACGAAGGGATTACGACGATTTTTTGGGGAAGAATCGTTGGGATCGAAAACCCCCAAACCTCACGGAGCTGCAATGGCGTAGATCTTCCCGTTGCAATGGGCCGTCGAGCAAACCCTTTTCGGAAATCGGCATTTACCGCGCTCCATTTCCAGGCGCCTGACCGTCAAAATCCCATTCTGAAGGACGAGAAGAGGACGACCAAAACGAACGGGAATTGGAGGAGACCTTACATAGATTTATACTTATAGGATGTGCATTTGATCTTTTTGAATGATTCGATATATAAATTAATTAAATTAATTAATTTTAATTGTAAAATTTAAATAATTAAATCAACTAAATTAGCTTTCAAATCAAACTAAATCAAATGTAGCATTTATTTATTTAATTCAATCCGATTGCAGATAAATTAAAACATTATTAATGTAAACTTTATCGAATCTACTTATATTTAATTTAAATAATATATTAAAAAATTCCGAAATAACTTTTGCAAGTAAAATAAATAATAACCACATTACCCATTGTTATTTGGTAATTTACTATATTTATATAATTTTTTATATAAATTAATATAATTCATTTTTACTTGTTAGCCTATACTAATTAAAAAAAATCTAAATAACTGAATCAAACCAACCAAATAAGAGAGCGATTACATTCAATTTTTTTAAATTCGCACGAACAAAGTATACCTCTAGAATTCCATGCCTAAATTTTTATGAACAAAGCATACCTCCATAGTTACCATCAAACTTTATATCTTAGTTTTTTAAATCACATAAAAATATTACTAATATTAATTTATTAAAAAATTATATATTTTTCATAGATCTAATGTAATATTATTAAAATATAAATATAAAATAGATATAAATATAAAAATTTAGATGTTAAATATATAATATTTAACACCCAAACGTTTAATTAGACCGACATAAAAAATAAAAAATTATTAAAAAAAAATCTATAAGATTTTGGTTTTTACTATTTATTTTTAAAAATCACATTCAAAAACATTTATCGATGATAGAAACGTGCATTCATAAAAACGCAACTGAACATAAAACTTCTTTTGAGTAATATAAATATTGATATATCATCAAAAAAACTTAAAAACGTATCTTGATTGGGCATGAATCTCAAGGCAAAATTAAGTTAGAAACTTCCAAAATTAAAATTGGAACATCTAAACTCTGATTTCTGCAAACTTACATTCGAATTGAACGTCTCAAAAAATACAAACGCAACGACACCAAATTCGGCTCAATCCGAGCCCAAATGGATCAAAATCAAAGACCCGAAACACATTTGAAAAATTCAAGCTATAAATTGAATGACCAAAAGATTTCCGAATGTGACATGCTTATAGTCAAATCAAGCAGCTCAACAAGAAGAATCCAACGAGCTCAAGATCACCAAATTATGATATCAAAAAGGCATTCAAATACCTAGTAACTGTCCACAATTAAAGGGATCAGTATCGATTGTCTATTCAAACCAATCCCAACTTACCTTGATCTCACTTTATTTATTTATCATGTCACTCTAAAAAAATTATAAATTAACCCCTCATTCTCATAAAAAGAAAAGACAAACAAGAAAGAGAGAAAAAACTAGAGTTCTCATGCTACCAAACTCCTTAACCACCGCCAAACTTTTGTCCTACCACCAAACATTATCAAATTTTCATTCATCACAAGATTTCAACCCAACAATTGACTATTAACAGGGTGTGACCTCATGATTTTTTCCTTTATTAAAAATTTTCACATAAAAATATTTTGTTTCTAAATTCTCTGTTTATGTGTTGAATATTCGTACAACGCTGAGACAAAAATCCCATCTCTATAGGCGTGTATATTATAGCCCGCAACAAATATTAAATAATATTTATTTTAAAAATTTGATAGGCATCAAAACATTTATATAATAATTATGCACACATCATATTTCTCAAAATTAATAAAAGTAGAAAATAAATGATTTCAAACCAGCTCAATTTCAAGTTGGAGCTAGCTCAAAAACGAGCTTCTTCAAGCCAATTCAATTCAAAATTGAATCAAATCAAGACACAATCCATCGAATTATATGGAACCAAGCTAATTTCAAGATATCTACCAGCTTTATAAGCAGCTTATAAGCGAAAAGAATTTCTCGTCTAATATGACCTACTAATTTTCTTACAGAGAACAACAACCTGAGCCCACATCCATAATACAAGCCAAATGTTTGAGAATAACAGAATGCCTCAAAACAATCAATAACACTGGACAGATAAATTAGTCTGACACAATTGTTACTTCAGTTCAATTACCTCAGTGTACTCCAATCCTGGCTTAGTCTTCCCCCTCCTGTTCATCTTTAAATAGCTTAATCATATCGTCGATTCTCAGAATTGTTATGGCTGCCTCAGTAGCAAACTGGCACCACAGAAAAAGAGGAGAGGAACAACGCGAGGTTAAGATACAGCTACATGTGTGGTTAATTATAAAAGGAAAATTAGATAAAAAGCCTAAAATGGTCATCCACATATTCGTATTTGATCAATTTAGTTCCAGAGTATTATATTTCTGTAATTTTGCCATTCAAACCTACAAAATTAATCTCAAATGACCCCTTAAAATGAAATTGATAGAAATTGGGATACAAAGTTGATCTTAATTTAGGCTTTGTTTGGGACGGCTTTTTAATTATTCTTAAAACAGTTTTGTAATATAAAAATTAAAATTTTCATACTAAAAAACTGTTTTAAAAAGCAGCAAGAAAGTTGTCCCAAACAAGAGCTTAGACTTCGTTTAGGACGGCTTTCTTACTGCTTCTTAAAGCAGCTTTCTAGTGCAAACATCTGCAAAAATTAAATTTTTTTGCACTAGAAAATTGTTTTAAAAAGCAATAAGAAAACTGTCTCAAACGAAACCTTAGTCTCTTGACCACATAAAATTAATATCAATCAAAACCCTAAGGGACCATCTGGAATCAATTTTACAAAGACGAGAGACTACTATGGGACTAACCTGGCCACATACAAATATTCTGGTGATTATTTTAGGCTCTTTGCCAGCAAAATTGAAATCATGTTCAACAAATGTATCAAATTGTCAGAATTAAGTGTTAAATATATAAATTAGAGTCTTGAATGTTAAGAGAATTTGGACAGTTGATAAGCAACAAGATAAGGCTTCGTTTGAGACGACTTTTTTATTGCTCTTAAAACGGAAGTTTAGTACAAAAATTTTAATTTGTACTAAGACCAAGCCTTATGCATTAAGATCCCACACAGCCTTACCTACATGCTGCAGATAAGGTTATTTTCATAACTCATATTTATGACCTTCAGCCCACAATGGAGGCAACTAACCACCCCACCCTTAGCCACATAAGTAACAAAGTAATCAGAGTAAACATACTAATTTTTCCCTTGAGTTAATAGGTTATTCAAGTATAAGCAGTTTATTATTATCATTAATGAAGCAAGGTCAAGAATATTTTAAAGCTTATTACCTGTATAATCTTCACTTTGCTCATTGACGGCTCAATTACTCCAGCTTCAAGATTATTGCGGATATTGCCTTTCAAAAGGTCCAATCCCATGCTGCAAAATCGAAAGAGAGAATGTGGTTGTAAGGTCCAATCAATAAGCAAAACCAAAATCCGGTTAACAGACCTTCATTAAATACTAAAGAACATAATTTTCCACGGTAAAATTTTTAGAGTATGAATGTTCATGACAGTTAGAACATAACGAACTTTTCAAGCCATAACTTATGAGCTGCTTTCCGATTAAAATATTGCTATAATGCAAATGCAAACTACTGAAGGGTCATTTTTCCCACCATAAAAACCCTATGCTGGCCCATACCTTGTTTAACATTATCCGGACCATAATTCATTTTTCTCCTATCTGTACTAGATGAGTACGTATTCTTTTCATTTATTTTCTTCCGTTCACTAGGGCAATTCATGCAATATCTATATTTACGTAGATGGTTCGATAAAAATTGCTGACAGTTCCCAGATCAAGGGAGCACGGCAGCACTGCTCATCAAACTGATGTAATTATCAAGAATAAACAGGTATCAAAGCTAAAGATCTACCCTTCCAAGTCCTAGCAATCCCCAACTTATTAATTGCAGTCACTGACAGAGGATTTTAATTATTCTGTGCGGACGCCGAACACCCTTCGGAGACCAACCAGAATGCGCCACATCATCCCCGTACTCGGTACTGCTCGGTAGTGCGGCTCGTTACTGCTAACGTGATGCATTCTGGCTGATCTCTTAACAGCGTTCTGCATCTAGTCTCCACACAGAATAATTTCTTTCTCGTGACAGAGTGGGTATTCCGTGCATAGTTCCAAATGCTTGCAAGTAGAAGGTCGAGTATAGGTGCAAGTCTAATTGCATAACGATCTGCTCCTGGTTCCCAGAGTAGTGGTCATGAGTTTAAAGTTCTCTTTAAATTAAATATTCACTAGCTCCATGCTTAATTGATATGTAACTAGCCTTGTGTGTTGGTCATATTTATAGTTGACCACATGCCTAGCAATTGTTCCAGTACACTCCTTTTAATTAATAAAATATTTGGGATAAGTTTCAATCCAGAAAAATAAATTAAAAAAATGATAAGAAGTAATAGCCTATATATATATATATATAATCATAAAAGGACACTAATAAGCACCTTGGGTATAATAAGAAGAGACTCAGCAAACTCTGCTATGGCCAGCTGCTCTCTAGAACCAAGTGTTGTGGCAAGATTCTCCAAGTACACAGATAAAGCAGCCTCCACAGCACCACCACCAGCAACAACCTGTAGTAGCACCCATTGAATAGTGTCAACTAGGAGGGTAGGTTTAAGGTACGTAGATCGATGGGTGCACGAGAATAAACAATTCACGATAAAATAATAAATGAAAAAAATACCCATAGAAAAAGTGAGAAGAAAACTTCAAACAAAACTACTGATGCCAAAATGAGGTAAAGGGAAACACATTTTATACGAATCAAGAAAATTCTGTATCCTATGAAACTCGAGAAAATGATCAAAATAGTCCTTTGTCTATTTATGAAAAATCAAAATGGTCTCTAATTATCTTAAAGATCATTTTTGGTCTTTCATAAAGATCAAGGGACGATTTTGATCCTTTTTTCATATAAAATTCATATGCATAGTTTACATGGAGAGCACTCTTCATGAACACAACACTTATTTAAGATGCCAAAGATGGAAAAGTTGAATTTAAGATTCAGGTAACATGAACACAATAAATTGGACATTGTCAAGGCAGAGATTGTCTTTCCAGGAAGAGAAGAAAAAATTTATTATAAAAGATCTTAATTTTAACTGGACAAGGAATTGAGATTCAGTGCAATTATACCAAATTAGATTCGAGAGTTCTCTTCACAATGGATAATGCATCATGCAAAGAGCGATCCATCTCATCAAGCATGAAGTCATTTGCACCTCTAAGGATCAATGAGACCTGAGATATTAATAAATATTAATATAAAAAACAAAAAGATACCACTCAAAAGGCTGAAATCTTTAAGCAAAAATGAATATAGCCAAATATACTCACTGCACTTGTATTTTTTGTGCCTTTGACCAAAATTACATCATCATCAGCAATACGTTCCTCCAAAACTTCATCTGCTTGACCAAGGAATGATGAATCAAATGTTTCCTCTCCTTCCATGTCAGCAAATGTGGTAACCTGCAGGTTCGACCAGCTAACTTAATAATCCCTAGTAAGGGTGCAACTAGGCTACATAATGGACCATGGGTCCCAGAAAATAACAAGCAAAAAGAAGGAACAATAGAGTTGGATGTTTATGATATGAAGTGAAAGTTTAAGGGGAAAAAAGAAGTAATCTTGTAGCCTAAGTGCCTAACCAACTAACATGAGCATGCTTATTCTTCCTCTTTACCAGCTCATAAGCCAAGCAGGATCATTTTAGTAAGCAAGTCTCTGAAGAGCCAAACAACTTCAAAGATATCCACCATGCTTCAATTAATAATATAACCACAATGCACATTAATAACACATCATTTCAGTTTAATCCAGATCAACATCATACTGCAGTATTAGTCAAAATGCACGCCAGCTTGCTTGTATTTGTTCTAACACATTAAAAAATACAACCATGATATTTAAGCAATCATTTTGTAGGACAGAAAAATACCACAGTTGCCCCAGTGGCCTTAGCAATATGGCGAAGATCCTCTTTCCGAACGCGTCTAACAGCAATAGCCCCAGCCTCCACAAAATACTGGAATCACATTAAAAAAAAAAAAAAAAATTCGTTAGAAGACTGCTATCAATCAAATTGATATTTCAGCATGCATATAACTTACAAAAAAAAAGCATATAACTTCAGAAAATTTATAACGAAGCTAAACTAATAACCAAATACAAAAATAAAAAAGCAGAGTATTGTACAGCATCAATTTTGTACAATTATAGATATAAAGAGAAAAAGAGATGGAACCAAAATAAGATACAGAGGAAAAATTGTATTCCCCACAAATTCTTCTGCCCTACAGTTTAAAGGGATTTTAAATCCAACGACCAAGGTTCTTTTAAACATTTGCCATAGTTTTGATGAACCGCATTGCACGATATTAATGTGGTTTAAGCAGGCTTTATCTTAAAAGGAAATAGTAAAGCACTCTTCCTGTTTGCCAGACTTCAACAGGTCGGATGCAACAGCTTCAACTAACTCCATGGCTCTAGCAGGATGGACGCAAACACCACCACATCACCGCCACCTTCATAGGTGTTCTCACCACCACCTCATCAAGTATTTTCACATCAAACTGTATTTCACTTGTCACGTCAATTGTCACTATCTCCTTTATCTTCAATATTGTTGCCTACATTACCATCTCATCCGCCTTCTCCTTTACCTTCTCTAATTACCTCAGCAATTTCGTCTACAAATCTCCACCATCTCCATCACCATTGCTGCCTTCCCCACCTCCATTGTTTCCATCTCCAACACCACTTTAACCACCATATCCTAAGCCTAATCCAAGGATCTTACCACCGGCGCCTTCCAAAGCTTGCTCTCTCTCTCTCTCTCTCTCTCTCTCTCTCTCTCTCT